CCTTTTTTTTTCCCTCCTGCTGCATCTCACAGATGGGGGAGGCGCAGCAATCATCCCTGGAGCAGCCACAGCTCTCCCTTCAGACTTCTGTGCTCCGCTGAGGGATCCACGGGCTCAGAGAGGCTCTCAGGCAGACCCCAAAACCTTGAAGGCTGGACTTTCCTCATGGACTTGTTGAAGCTGAAACGCCTGAGACCTGCACACCTCACACATTCTAATATATATTATTCATTTGTAAAACCATTGTCACAATTAAAATCGTGAGCATATTCATTGTTCCCGAAAGTCTTCTTAAAGAGACATTTTCTTTCTCTCTCGGGGCGGGTGCCCGGCGAGAAGAGCGCTCCACCCGAAGACCCAGCCTCGATGACCCGCGGTCTTTTTTGAAGAGGGGAGCCCGAGATGTGGGGAGGGCGGGTGGTAGGTGGGGGCCGTTTACACAAAGCCAGAGGCCGGGAAAATAGGCCGTCCAGGTGCAAGGAGGCAGCGCCCCAGGGCGGCTTCCCGCCCAGTGTAGTCTAGCGCGGCCCGCCCGCTCGCCCGGGATCTGCGGCCCGGAGCGGTTCTGCGCGGAATACAGAGCGCACCCCGGGGGAGAGGGGGGGGGGACCCCGGGACCCCAGCGCCTCCTGCCGGCCGCGTTGTCACAGCGCGCTCGTGAGGCGGAAGGACGAGGTTTGAGGGATCCCGAGTGTGGGGCGTTGGGCGAGGCTAAAGCGGTAGGCCCGAGTGGTGGACCCGGCTGCTTGCGAGGGGCCAGAAGTGCACTGGGGGAGGGGGAGACGAGCCCCAGCCCTCACTGTCTCCTCTGCCCTGCAGGAGAATGGCCACGTGAAAAGCAATGGAGACTTGTCCCCTAAGGGTGAAGGGGAGTCGCCCCCGGTGAACGGAACAGATGAGGCAGCTGGGGCCACTGGCGATGCCATCGAGCCAGCACCCCCTAGCCAGGGCGCTGAGGCCAAGGGGGAGGCCCCCCCCAAGGAGACCCCCAAGAAAAAGAAGAAATTCTCTTTCAAGAAGCCTTTCAAATTGAGCGGCCTGTCCTTCAAGAGAAATCGGAAGGAGGGTGGGGGTGATTCTTCTGCCTCCTCACCTACAGAGGAAGAGCAGGAGCAGGGGGAGATCGGTGCCTGCAGTGAGGAGGGCACTGCCCAGGAAGGGAAGGCTGCTGACACCCCTGAGAGCCAGGAGCCCCAGGCCAAGGGGGCAGAGGCTAGTGCTGCCGCCAAGGGAGGAGACGCTGAAGAGGAGGCGGGGCCCCAAGCCGCAGAGCCATCTACTCCCTCAGGGCCGGAGAGTGAGCCTGCTCCTGCGTCGGCCAGCGCTGAGCAGAATGAGTAGCTGGGTGGGGGCAGGTGGGTGATCTCTAAGCTGCAAAAACTGTGCTGTCCTTGTGAGGTCAACTGCCTGGACCTGGTGCCCTGGCTGCCTTCCTGTGCCCAGAAAGGGTAAGGGGCTTGTTGCCCCCTCCCAGCCACAATCCCTCTCCTCTCCCTCCTGTGGATTCTCCCATCAGCCATCTGGTCTTCCTGTTAGGGCCAGTTAAAGGTGGTCCCTTACAGTTTCCCAAGTTAGGTTAGTGATGTGAAATGCTCCTATCCTTGACCCTACCTCCTTCCCTGTCCCTTCCCCTACAGAAGGCAATTGCTGGTTTTCTCCCTGGTTCTTTTCCAAGTAGGTTTTGTTTATCCTACTCCCCAGATCCCTGAGCCAGACAGAAGTGGGGTGCTTACACTCCCAAACCCTGAGTGTCCAGCCTTCCCCATGTTGAGTTTTTAGTCTCTTGTGCTGTGCCTAGTGGCACCTGGGCTGGGGAGGACACTACCCCGTCTAGGTTTTTATAAATGTCTTACTCAAGTTCAAACCTCCAGCTTGTGAATCAACTGTCTCTTTTTTGACTTGGTAAGCAAGTATTAGGCTTTGGGTGGGAAGGGAGGTCTGTAATGTGAAACAACTTCTTGTTGTCTTCTTTTTCTCCCATTGTTGTAAATAACTTTTAATGGCCAAACCCCAGATTTGTACTTTTTTTTTTTTCTAATTGCTAAAACCATTCTCTACCACCTGGTTTTACTGTAACATTTGGAAAAGGAATAAATGTCATCCCTTTAGTGGTGCTTTAATGAGTGTGGTTATCTGGGGGTAAGATGAGGAAACTGGTGGAAACCTCGGGAAGGGCTAAGAAGGCAGGTAAGTTGTTTTGATTTTTTTTTGGGGGGGTGAAGGTTACCCAGAAAGGTATCAAAAGGGCAGGGGTGCCATGTGGATGCCATGTTGACAACAACAAAGGGAAAATGCTAGGAAACAAACTCAGGAGAATATAGAAATGTACCATTTTATTACAAAGAGTCTCACAAAAATGAAAATGTCTCAAAGAAAGGAAGCTAGACTACCAACCTCCACCTGCAAAATGGGGAAGACAGAGGGCAGTGTGAGTTTCTTACCTCACCTGGGGCCAGTGTGAAGGTATGAGAACAGAACCAATCTAAAAATGGCTGATGTTAACCTTAGGAACCCGAAGAACAGGGGGCCCCTGAAGATGCATCCATACCATCTACAACACGTAACAGAGCTCCTTTTCCAAAGCTACAAAGGAGCCCCTCAGCATGTCAGGATTTCATTTTATGGGTGCATCGCTTCCATCCAGATCTGTACCCTTTGTGGTTTAAAACTAAGACTTGGGGAAGGATGGGGAGCAAGACAGCTGCTAGAAGTTTCCCCAGCATAGCTCTCCTGCACTCAAGGGCCCTGGCTCCTACTCTAGTCCCTAGGGACATTTATATTTAATATATTTTATATAAATATACAGAGAAATAGAAAATATAAAATCTGAAGGGTTAGAGGGAGAAAGGTAGGGAGGACTTGGCAAGAAGCCCAAGCTGGAGAGGTCTGCTTAGGCCAATTTGACCTCCTCTTTGACCCTGTGGAGAGAGCAGAAACAAGCATAAGACAACCCATCCCAGAGGCCGTGAGCAAAAATGTGGACACAATGACTACTACAGAACCAGGGTGCCCAGGTGACTGCTGGGGACTGGGGCTTCCTAGCTCTGCCTAGAACTGCAGGGAAAGACTGGCCCCTGAAAGAGGCCTTTGTAAGCAGGACCAGCTGTCCCTGTGCCTTCTCTCTCAGGGTGGTGGGACAAAGGGGCTGATGCTTCAGTGCCAGGGAGATGGTAGAGAGTTCTTCCTCACCCTTTGGCTTCTGGCTTCTCCTCCTTGGTTTTATCCTCTTCTGTGACCTCTAGAACAGGAAAATGCAGGGATCACCAAAGGTAGCCCCCCTCTGGAAAGTCTTAGATCTTCATCTTCACTTTACCCTAAAACCCCTTTCCCAAAATTATAGCAAAGTGGGCACAGAAAAACTCATCCCATGTCCTCCCATGAGCCCTGCTGAAACAAACAGGTTGGACCAGTTTCCCAGCCTGCTAGAGCCAGAACCCAGTGGGAGGAGGCAACCCCCTAGGAAACCGGTGAAGTGCTGAGAAAAAGGCTGGGGTGGTATGTGAGAGCCAGGCTCAATCAGCCAGTAGAAATGTCTTTCATTGTTTTGTGGGCCTGGTCACTTCTGGGAGCCACTAATAGGCCCAAGGAGCTGAGCCGGAGACCCACAGGAGCTGGCAGGGCCTGAGTCGGCCAGCTCCCCGCTCCTGGTGTCCCACATGGATTCCTTGTCCTCCAGGGCCAAATCCTGGCCCAGCCCACACCCACCTTTCTTCTCTTCCGCATCTTTTTCTTTCTCATCCTCTGTTTTGACTCTCTTGGCTTTCTTGAAGTTGGAAGAGTTCTTGCGGCCACCTTCTCCCTCCTCGTCGGAGTCAGAGAACTCTTCCTCACAGGCAATTCGTTTGTCAGAGGAACAGACTAGGAGGCAGCAAAGGCAGAGTATGCGTGAGACAGCAGGGGGCTGTTTATCTCAGGGTCTATGCACACTGCTTTCCGCTGCCTCCAAGACACCAGGGTAAGGGATAAAAGGAGGAGGACTGGAAATCCGAACTCAGCCTGGATTAATTTACTGAGACCTTGTCTCAAAATAAAAATAACAAAGGGCTAGGGACATATCTCAGTGTGAAGGCCCTGGGGTTTAACACCCAGAACTAGAAAAGAACCAAGTTTCTGGACAGGCAGGCAGCTTGGGGGAAATGGTGAGCCAGACAGTAGAGGAAGTCAGTGCTGTCTGTTAAGAGAAGGTACAGTCTGGGTCTTACTTGAGATGCGCTTGTCAGGGTCTTCTTCATCCTCATCACCACTCTCCTCAGGGATGGCATCCTCAGGAATTGCCTGCATTTGGACCCCGGGTGCATGGGGCAGCATTCTCAGATTCTCAAAGAGCCGCTGTCTATGGCCAATAGGAGAGAAGATGGCCAAGCTCCAATGGGGACAAAACAGCCCAGAACGTTCAATCAAGGGGCAGCCAGTGGTATACTTACTTGATCTTCTCTAGGTACTCATTAGTGTTCTGGTTAGTCATATTGGAAGGACTGATGTGAAGTTTGAAATCTGGTCCAAAGTATTCGAAGTAGTCATTATATGGAAGTTCTGATTGGGGCAGGAGAGAAGAGTCAGAGACCTGGCTACCACAGGATCCAGAGAAAACCATTTGTAGGCTTCTCTAGGCCTATTCACCTATCTATGAAAGAGAAGAATGGAAGACATAGTGACATATGCTTATAGTCCCAGCTACCTGGATCTTCCTAAGGCAGGAGGCCTGCTTGAGCTCACAAGATCCTAAGACCAGCTTGGGCAACATAGACATGACTCAAAAAAAAGCTGGGTGTGTTGGCTCAGGACTGTAATACCAGCACTCAGGAGGCTGAGGCAGGAGGATCACCGTGAATTCAAGACCAGCCTGGGCTTACACAGTGAGTTCCAGATCAGTCTCAACTACATAGTGTGACACTGTCTCAAAAAAGAAGAAAAGCCTTTGATAGTGGGAGTCTTGGACACCTACAGAGTTTTGGTATTTTTAACACCATTCTCCAGTGTCCACACTTGGGGTATATGTGTCACTAGAAGAGGAAGGCCCAAGGACACTTTATGTTCTTCATGAGTACTCCCTTCACTTCTCAGTTACCCTACAGAGTGGAAATTCCAAAGTTGCAAATAAGTACTGATAATCTTGTCCAAACCAAAATCAGGAGGGAGAGGAGACAGACTCAAAAAGGGAAAGGGGAACACTGATAGCTAAGGTCTCAAACTGTAAGGAAACAACGCTAGTGCCCACCCAGCCCAACCAGGCCCTGGAGCTATTACCATTAGGGATTTCTGTGTCTAGAGCCACAGCTGTTTCGTATGTCCAGCACCGGGCAACATTACGAATGGTATAACCACCTCCTCCCAGCATCAGCATAGGCAGGTTGAAGCTTTTGACAAATTCCACACACTTGGCATGCCCTTTGGAGAAGAGAGGGATGCTAGGTTAGGGGAACGCTTAGCTGAACCCTGCCCATCCACACTTGTACTACACCTGGCCTCACCTTTGATGGTCAGATTGAAGCAACCCAGGCGATCCCCGGAGAGGGAGTCTGAGCCACACTGTAAGACCACTGCACTAGGCTGGAACATCTCCATTACTTTGGACATGACCTAGAAAGAGACATCTTTGGTCACCACCAACCTCAAGAAAAGCTAAGTGAGGTTCAGGGGTGGGTGCGGCACTTTCTTCTATTCCTTACCTATTCCTACTTTCCCACTCACCTTCATGCTGTGTGGTAGAAAGGAGGGAGTTTTCCAATTTGAAAGACTCTCTAAGACACTTTTAGCTCCAATAACCCTGAACCTAGAATGGGCTTCCTGTCAGCTCCCTAATCTTTCCTTTCTTTCACTGCCCAAGTTCCAGGGCCACTTCCTTTAGGAAGTTTTTCAATCCTTGGCTGCATCTGGCCTACTCCCTTGGTCTTATAGGCTTTAAGCCTTCGCAAGGAGGTACTTTGTATACAGTATTATCATAACTACAGTCTAATTTACTGAGGACAGCGAATGGTCTCTCTGTCACAGTTACTACTGGGCATATAGTAGGTACTTGTTGCTGAGTAACTGCCTGACCCTATTAAAGTACACTCTATTACAGTTTATCGTTACTTACAAAGATTTAACACCTAAACACAGGGTTCAAACCTTCCTTTGTAATATGGACCCCCGAATCCAGTTTTTCTTTTTTTTTTGGGTACCAGGGATTGATTGAACTGAGTCCTTGCTCTTTTGACGCATGTGGTGGAACCACTGAGCTAAATCCATGGCTCCCAAATCCATTTCCTATTACCTCCTTCCATCTTCTCCCACATCATACTGGCCCACACGCCATTCCATACTTGTACCTCTCCACTTCTGCTGGTGCTGTTCCCTCTGCCAAATGCCATCCCTTCAGCCCCCACCTCCTCCTTCACATGGGTACCTCCTCATTTTTCTTTTCCTGGTCACAGGGAATGAACCTGGGACCTGTGGCACCACTGAGCTAAATCCCCAGTCCTACCTCCTCATTTTTCAAAGCCACCTCAAATGTCACCACCTCTGTGAACTCACCCGAATACCCTCTCCCCATCCCAGGCAGTAGTTTGTCATTCCTGCTCATCCCTCCATAACACAGGCACCAGGCCAGCCTTCCTGAGGACTACTGTAGCAAGCATGCTCAGACAGCATGCCAGGCAGCCTTCCCCAAATCTCTAGGAGGGCGTTCCCAGACAAAGCCAGTCTGCAAAGTTTGGAATAAGTCCCTATTCTTCAAATGTGCAGATGTCAACATAAGGCGAAGGAGTATGAAAACCCAGGAAACGCAACACCACCAAAAGAACACAATCTCCCAAGGCCAGTGATGGCGAACCTTTTAGAGCTTTCAGTGACAATGAACAGCTGGCTGCGGCATGCGTGCCACAGGTTTGCCACCACTGTCCTAGGCACTGACCCCAAAGAAATGGGTATAAAACAGTACTGCTCACATGTGGTTGGGGAGGCCCTCTTATCACAGACTAAGGACAACCATCGGACCTTAGATACTCTTGCATCCAGTAGAGGGCCCAGTCAACAGGAAGAATCAACAAATACTGGATGACTTTTGTTCCCCTGACTGACCGACCACCCTGTGATCCTGGGTTGAAATACCTCTCGTTTCCCAGTTAGCCATAGCGAGGTGAGACACCCCAGGTACGGTGAGGTACTTGGCTACCCTTCCCCTACATCAATCCCACTTGTAGCCCAAGGGGTGGACAAAGCCACTTACCGGCTTGAAAATGGCCTCATAGGACTCGTCATCAATCCCATCTCGGAGTGGGTAGTTAACAGCATAATACTTGCCTTTGCCAGCCCCAATATCCTAATCAAGAGGGACATTAAAGTAAAACGGAAAGATGAAGCTAGGAGGGAGTTCAAGGAAAGGGGCTGGAAGGGTAAGGAAAGAAGTAGTTCTGAGAGACAAGCTGAGCCCATGAAGTGGGCCAGGACAGAGCAGGGCACCTCAGTTTACTGCTGTCTTAGCAAGCTTAATTCACATCTCTGCATACACCACTGAGCCTGCAAGCTGTTTATTGGGCCAGAGATTGAATATTCTACTCCAATACACAAGTTCTCTGCCTCTGAACTGGGTTAGAGGTGGCCAACAGCTGGGTCACAGAAATAACACCCACCTCTAGCCACCCTTTTTCTCTACCCAGATTCACTTTCTTTTCTTTCTTTCTTTCTTTCTTTCTTTCTTTCTTTCTTTCTTTCTTTCTTTCTTTCTTTCTTTCTTTCTTTCTTTCTTTCTTTCTTTCTTTCTTTCTCTCTCTCTCTCTCTCTCTCTCTCTCTCTCT